GACCCAGCTGAAATGACTCAACAAAAACAACAAATCTCTTCCATATCCCAAAGAATTAAATCGTGGAATAACAAATTTTAAAAGGTAGAGGCCATCTAGTCCAATGAATATCTTCAAAAAGATATTGCAAATATCTTCTATGCCTTCTGTAGCAAACTGAGAATTTGTCATCTAGCTTTTGCTTAAAGAATGCAGATCCTTGAACAGAATAAGTATTTAAAAATAGTTATGATGAAGATGAATAATTTAACTAAACTTATGATAATGATGGAGAACAGAGTCTGGGATGTAGAGTTGAATAAGTTTTAACAGGGGGAAAGAGGGAGAAAGAGAGGGAGGGAAAGAGAAAGAAGAAGAGGGAGAGGGAGAGATCAGCTCTTCAGCTGCTTAAGATCCTTCCAAATTCAGGTGATATCCCCTAGAGGCAGCATGGGAATCCTGAGTACCTTGCAAAAGGCCCTAAAATGAGGGATGAAAAGATACAAAAGACTAGCATCTTTTCCTCCACAGTCATGTCTGCATGAGATTCATCACAGGTTTTCTGGCAGCAAGCAGTCACTGTAAACTGTCCAATCAGCAACACTTAAGTATGCATTCTTCTTTTACCGCTATTTCACTTTTGTCTCACATGAATATAATGAACTTTTCATATTGTCGAGTTGATGTAGGAGAGGTCAATGACAACACTCCCAAATCTAAGACAATGCCCTTGCCTCTATTTCATAGCAAATATATTTGGAGCTAGAAGGCACCTTCAAGATCATTTACATCAACTCTATCATTTACAGATGAGCAAAAGAATAGAGATGAAGTGATTATTAAGTGCTTACTATGTGTCAGGTACTAAGCACTACAGACAAAAATGCAAAAGACCAAGTGCAGTTCTTGCCGTCAAGAAATGTACCTTCTAACGGGGGAATTCAACACTTGAAAGGAAAGCTAGGAGGAGAAAAGGCTGGGCCATATAGCGGCATCACTTAGAAACAACTGGGAAATGACATGAAGGCCTGGCTCCAGGAAAGACAAGAAAAAAGCTTACCTCTCAGAGTCCAAGGGGCAAAGACCAAGGGTCCAGTGGTAGGGAGATGAGGAGGATGAGGATGATGGCCAGAGTTCATTGAGCATAATTGGAAAATGGCAAGAAATAACTGAGAAAACCAAGGCCCAAAGAGGTAAAGTGTCTCGTCCAGAGTCTTACAACTATTAAGTGTCTGGCTCAGAATTTGAACCCAAGTCTTCCTGACCCAAAGTCTAGTGCTCTTTCCACTATGTTACACTGTTTTCCCGCATTTTGACTCCTGACCCTAGAGAAAAAGATAAATGTTTGTATATGCTTATTTTATTTTCCATTCATAAATCATGTCTGTTTTTAAGTATAAGGTGGTACTTCTAAAACTGAACCTTGTTCATAAAGTTGTGCTAAAAGACAAAAAAAAAAGGCTACTGCTTTTATAACTGGTTTGGATGGACTCTAGATTTTTCTTTAAGGGTGTGAGTTCCATAAACATTTTTTAAATGCTTACCATGTACAGAGCACTGTACTGAACATTGAGAAAGAAAAGTTTAGATAAGACAGGATCCTTTCCCTCATGGAATTTAAAATCTAGCAGAGTGATAAGACACAAACATAGATAACTATGACGTGTAATACCACTTGATAAGTGCATTTAGGGAAATGCAAAACAAAGGGCCAAGTGAGGGCCAAGAGTCAGTTGCTACTAACCAATGACTCAGTGAAGGTTCATGAAAGAGGAAGCATTTGGGTTGAGCCTTACAGGAGGGATGGGTAAAGAGGACAAGGAATTATATTCTAGACACAGGAAACAGCTTGGGCAAAAACGTGAAGGCATAAAAGCATGGGACATGCAATGGAAGTAAAATTAGCACAGTTTGCTTTAATCATAGAGAATGCAAATAGGATAGTATTAAACAATCAACCAACAATTATTTATTAAGTGCCTACTATGTACCAGGCATTGGAGATTCAACAATAGCAAATAAACAATCTCTGCCCTCAATAAGTTTATATTCTACAAGGAAAAAGCAAAATGGAAAACCAGGATTGTACAGGACCTTAAATGCCAAGTTAGGAAGTTTGAGTTTCCTTAACCAGCAACAGGGAGCCATTATGCATTTTTTTTTTGGCTAAGCAATGGGGTTAAATGACTTGCCCAGGGTCACACAGGTAGTAAGCGTTACGTGTCTGAGGTCAGATTTGAACTCAGGTCCTCCTGAATCCAGCGCTGGTGCTCTATCCACTGTACCACCTAGCTCCCCCACCACTGTACATTTTGCAGCAAAGCAATGACACCAACAATGCCCTTTATCCCTATGATGCCTTTCTTGTCTCTTTATACCTATTTGGCTCATGGATTCGGAGCTCTTAATCTCTGGAAGTCAAGCCTTGAGCTCAGCTTCTTTCTAAAATCCCAAGAGATCTGCTTGATTTACAAAAAATATAGGATGTCCTACTCCTTGGAGGGGGCATGATATCATGCTACTAGCCAGGCTTTCCCAGCAGTCCTGGATTTAGTGCTGTACCTGCATTGTCTACAATTCATTAAGCCACATGAATGAAGGACAGGTTATTGAAATCACTGCCTGTGCAATGACACAGCTTTGCCTGAAAAGACCGTGGCCAGAGCCCTGCGTTCAATATGTAACCAGAACTAGAATCAATGTTTCTCCATTTCGTGTAATTGGTCAGATTTAGATGAAGTTTTAGTATTGAATATTATTCTCTCTCGTGTTTCAGTTGCTAAGGTCTCTGATTGTCTACCCCAGATATCCTCAAGAGAATAGAGAAAACCTCAGAAGGTATCATCTAGGACATGGGGCCAACACTGTCAAGCAGTGTACTCAGTGCAGTTTGGTGTACTTGGAGCCTGAAACCTCAGAGCACAGACTGATATGCAAGATCTTCTGAGGAACACATGCAACTCAGGAGAACATAAACACAGCCACACAGGGAAAGTTAGTCTAACAACCACACTTCCCAGAGTTTCACAGTTCTGGCCCAGCATCTCACCTGGTTCTCTTGCTCTCTCCACAGTGCACTTGGTTAGCCTGGACACCCGTCAAGAGTTTCAGATTTTTCCTACCTTACTATGGATACTTTCTGTAGGCTGTCTCCAAACTCGAGAAATGGCTGATGTCTTGCTTAAGTTTGTTGGCAATGGCTACTGCTGCCTTGCCTGGAAAATAGCTAAAGCTATTTCTGCTTGATTTCATCATATCAAGATTAGGAAAAAGTTAACCTCACTATTTGCTTAGTTTGTTCTCCAAATACAAAACCTTATTAGCTAACTTTGCATACTTTGGCACAGTATCTCTTGGATTTAATGTGCCTTGTAATATGTTAATAGATGTTCCATTTTGTAATGTTGTAGAAAGCAGCTGTGACTGAATCTAGTATTTAAATACCATATGTTTTTAAAATATATATATATGTACATATATATATATACACATATATATGTATATATATATATATAACATTAAGGTAAAAGTGAAGTTATTTTAAAAAACACTTATGCCTGTTTATGCATTTCTAAAGGGCTAAAGGAACTGGAAGAAAATGTCCCCACGCAGCACAAAGTAAAAGGGAGATTAGTCAATTTTCTGGTGAGTTGGCTACACAGACGGCCAAGCCATGTAATTCAGGTAAAAAATTCCACTCTTCATCCTGAATTATTCAGATTGGCTATCTATGGTGCTCAAATGGGATAACTGTGCAATTTTAAGATTGTACACTTACAGCACAAAATAATTGGGGGAAGGCAGGCCTGAACGACCATATGGAAATAGGGTAGTTCAGACCCTAGCATATGCATTCAGACCTGAATTTTCCAATGGAGTTGTCTACATTGCTCAAAGAACCTAGATATTTGTCCAAGATCCCCTTCACTTTGTGCTGACACTATCTAGGGTATGTTTAAACAAAAAGATCAGCTTGGCCTTGACTATATGCCTGACCTAGTGTACATCCATAAATCTATCTCATTCTAATATCCCCCTATCTTTTTCAGTGTAATGCCTCACCAGACTCACAATGCCCACTTCACTAATATTTTCCCTACATCCTAATCTCTCAGTTCTGTATTCCATCTATCTTCCCACTGTGGACCTATTAAATAAAACCATGCAGGGGCTCACCAATATAGCAAGTGATTTTAACTCTACAGTCTTCTGTTCTCTGCACTAGAGAAAGATGTACAAATACTCATATGGCATGGATTGATTTCTCAACATTTTTCCCTCTATGTACTGATTTCACATTGACACTGAAGCTGAAAGAGGCCAAAAAAGAAAGGGGAGGGAACCTACACCTGGACAGAGATGCATCTAGCTTCCCTTTGACCACACCCCCAAACTGAATTATAGAGAGAGTGTTTTTTCCCTATCCAAGCTCCTCATAGTATCTAGAAGTGCCCAGCCTAGCTTTATATAACCTTTCAGTCCTCCAAAACTCACTGGTGTTTTTGTCATCATCATCTGTATGCATTTTTCTTTCCAACTTTAGGATAAAGACATGTTACTGGGTTTTATTTTTCACTGCTAACCCTCAAGCAAATAAAAGCTGCCTTAGCTCAGCACCTAAGGCAGTGTGTTTTCTCAATGAAAATGTCACCATCTGGACAAAAAGACATTGTTCAGAAATGTTCTTGTTCTTAAATAAATCACAAATCCACTGACTGATTTCCCAGATATTTCTAACTCTGTAGCACCTTCTGTATAACCAGCTGACGAGTTTAAAAGATGGTTCTTTTAGCAGTCAAACAAAGTGTCCTTAGAAGTCAAATCGCATTGTTCAGAAGAGGATTTAACAAGTGTCACCATAAGAGAATCATCAGAATGCTTGAAGCAATATCACCTCAAATTACAAAGGAAAGCCAGGTGTATTCACATCTGTATCACAGATCTCATGTTGCCAATGTAAGTCACTTCACCTAAAGAGCTTACTACTTTCAGATACTCTGTGTTGTATATGGGTGACCTACCTTTGATTTCATCCTGTCCAAATGTTGCCTGCATTTTTTTCTCTCTTTCTCTGCAAGGCTCACAGCTGGCACAGCTATAGGTGTGTGATCCTCTAAGATGAGCTGTGCCTTTCGTTCACACATGGCACTAGCTTGGGGCACACTCCAGAGCACACTTACTTCTGCTAAAGCTTCTGCCACATTGACATGGTTAGCTGGGTTCAAAAAGGAAACACACTGTAGGTTAGGTTCAACTGGATGCACAGGTGCCTAAAATGAAAGATGTCACTGCAGGTACTTGCAGAAGGGGTCAGGGGTCAGGTTCTGAAGCTAGCAGTCTTTGATTCTGGCTAGATAGAGAAGAGATGGATTTTCCCAGGAATTCTATAGTCAGACAAGATATCTTTTAGGCATTAGGATACTTCAAAAGGTAGAGCTATGCTAGAAATAAAAAGGAGCCTATTTTGAAGCTAGATTTTAACTAGATTCAATAAACAAAATTATTTTGAGTGATAACATGTTTTTACTTTCACAGCTCTCAGGTTAGGTATAAACCTGGGCCACAACCTGCTTAAGCTCCACGCAAGTCCCCAAAATTCTGTGCTTTACAATGCCAGTTGAGATGTGTCTTGCTGGTCAACCTCTGTCCAATACTGATTGCATTCATGACACTCTAATGCCTTCAGGGACTGATTCAGAGGCAGCTAATGAAAGTACCATGGATTCATAAGATTTACACTTGCAACAGAACTTAGAGATTATCTAGTCAAACCTCTTGTCTTACAGATGAGGAAATGGCATGCCCAGATTTCACCCATAATTATATAAAACCTTACTTGATCCTACCAATCCTTCAAGCCATTGCCCAGTGGTTCTTTCTCTTTTTTCAGTTAATGTGTAGGGGGAAAGTATCCTCTTCTCTTTTCTCTTTACACTTTTTTGATGATCTCATCAACTGCCATGAATTCAACTGTTATCATTATGCAGAGACTATTCATCCAGCCCTCTTCTCTTGCCTGAGTTCTGCTCCTACACTTCTGATTGCCTGCTGGACATTCTCACCTAGATATCTCATAGGAATCTCAAACTCATCATGTCCAAAGTTGACTTCATTTTCTTTCCTCATATACTCACCACCTCTCCCTATAACATCTCTATATCTGATGAGAGAATCACCACTATCACCCAGATTCTTATTCAGGAGTCATCTGTGATTCTTCACTTTCATCCATTAACCCTCCACCATACAATGAGTTTCCAGATCTTATTGATTCTCCCTCAACATTTTTAACATCCATCTCTTCTCTAGTTGTATGATCTCTAGCCTAATTCAAATCCTCATCACCCTTTTTCTATATTATTGCAATAGCCTTCCAATTGGTATCCCTGCATCCAACTTTTCCCCTCTCCATTCCACCCTTTGCATAGCTGTCAAATTGATGTTCCTAAAGTATATATCAGTCTTATGCCCAACAGCTTCCAGTAGCTTTCTATTGCTTCTGAGATAAAATTTAAATGACTTTATGGCATTTAAAGCCCACCACAATGTGGCACCAACCTATTTTTCCAGGCTATTTATGTATTATTCTCCATCATTCACTCTATAGACCTATCAGACTAGCCTACTTGTGATTCCCCATGAACAAATTTCTTTCTCTTACTGACAGGTTTTTCACATAGGCTCTCTATTATGCTGGGAATGTTCTCCTTTACCTTGGCATCTTGAAAATCCTAGGTCCCTTCAAGGTGCAACTCAAGGACCACTTCCTTCAAGAGGCTTCATTTGATTCCCTCAGTTATTAGGACTCCCCATTACTGTGCATTTAAGCCATGCTTATTTAACTCTAAGCATGTTGAACTCTGCCCCTCCACCCTACCTGTACAGTGTTTTGGGGCAGATACATTCTTACTTTTGTTTTTGGAGCCTTAGTGCCTAGCACATAGGAGATGTTCTCAATTGGTTTGTTTATTCATCCAATCTAAACATTTCCTTTTAATCATGAGGAAAACTGATGCCCAAAGAGGACTTATGTAATAGGACATAGAGGAAGCCCAAAGCTAAGATTTGAACCAAATTTTATGACTGAATCCAGTCATCTTTCTACTATACTGTGATACTCTCAGAACCTCTTTTCAAGAATTGTATAATCTACCATTCAAAATTTAGGGCACATTTTTAGAACCTCCAGAATTGCCTCCAAAGGTCCTGCCTCTAGTTGGCTGCAAAGAGGTGTGTTCAAAAATACTTGTTCTCAAGTCCTTTACTATGTAATATGTCCACTGAAACAGTCATTGACCAAATGGTAGTGGTTTGAAGGGATAAACTTAGTAATGCAAAGTTGCAACAATTGGGAATGGGGATGTGGAAAGTGGCTATGGTAGGTCAGCTATGAAAATAAACATTGGCCATTGCGCCTTGGGTCTAATAAACGAAATTATTTGAAACAAAGGAGAATTAGGAAGCAGAATTAAGGAAAATCTGAATTCACTCTGTCTTTCCTTTGGACTCCCTTCATTTGCTTTTCATGGGATTCTATGCTGACAGAACTGTGTTTGCTAATCAGTGAATCAAGGACCAGTAAAAGGGGATAGAAGGAATTAGAGAAGGATTAGGCTTATATTTAAAAAATGGAAACCAGGCCAAGACAAATACAAGACTCAATTAGAAGGCTTAGTACCCAGTGGTTTTTAAAAACACTTTTCAACAACAAGAACAATGACATACATATGTGGGAGGGGAGAAAGTTCTCTGATAGTGCATATCCATGTGAAGACTTGGGAAACCTGTTTTGGAAATGCAAGATAATCTGTTTTCCTCTCTGGTTCAGTATATGGCCACTAACTCTTAGTGATGAAAAATATTTGTTGGTGACTGAGTTGGAACTAAATAAATGTACAAAAAGCTCCAACAGAAGACCACTTTCTTTTCCCTAGTGGCAAAGGAGACAAGAATTGCTATGCCCTAAGCCTCTGAATGGAGATACTGTGATCAACTGTTGACTTGAAAGCTTAGAATATTGCTTTCTTTTGCTCCATTTGTCAAAGGCTTCCCATAATTCGGCTACATTGAATAAATACCTTTTCCCCCATGTTATACAGTTTTAGACCTGAAAAACATCATAGAAATCAGCTAGTCAAACCTGGTAATTTTATAATTGAGAAAATGAAGGTCCATAGAGAAGATGTGATTTGCCCAACATACAATAAATAAGAGGCAGAGCTGGAACTATATCCAGTACTAGACAACTTCACTTTCCAATATATTGATTGTACCATTGTGGCCTATCTCTATTACTCCATCTGTATTTCCTTTTCCCCTTACTTTCTTTCCTGTAATGTGGGAACTCTTTCTCCACCATTTTCTATGTTCCTTCTTCTTATAATCACTTTAATGCAGTCTTCACAGCTGCACTGATTGGGGAAGACTATTGAAAAGCCCCAATTCAAGACCATGTTGCAGCACTGCTATGCAAATTTGAAATTCTATTATTATGCCATTATTCCATTGATAGAAGCATTTTCCCTTGTTGAAAGTCAGGCCTTCAAAGTACAGTGTCAACATTATCTTGAAAGATCTAAATATATTTATATCCAATCATTTGGATATAAATACATTATACATCAGAGTCCTGGAAACTGAAGTGATTTTTTTCCCTTTTCTTCCATGGTGGGGTAATGAAAGGGAAATAGCAAGCAATTCAGAACCATAGTCTCAAAGGACAGATTTCATCTTTATATATCCTTGTTTCAGTAACCACTCTAATAGGTATGTCATAGTTGAGATGTCTAATGATGATTCTCAAAATAATATGGTGTCATGGAAAGAGCCAGGTCCTAGTTCTGACACTTAGTACCTATGTGACCATTACCTTTTCTGAGTCTTAGTTTTCTCATCTGCAAAATGGGAATAATGATAATTACATTACCTAGTTTTTGTGAGGAAAACACATCGTGTTTTTCCTTGACGTGTTATATAAATCTGAATTGTTAATCAGAGCTATTTTGCTAAAAGTAATCAATAGTATGTTCTATCAAATAGGATTTAAAATAAAGGTGAATATTTTAAATACAGAAAGCTTTATAAAAACCAAGATCCTAAGTAAATGTAGTTAAATTTATATAGTATGCTACACAAAGGATACACAAGATGGGGCCTCAAGGCTGGCATTGGCTCTCCTAAAACATTCTATTTGGTTGTAAGCCAGTAAGTACAGTCTGAATCTCTAGAGATTTCAGTAATATAAAGTCAGAGGACCATAGAGCTTATAGGGACATTCAAGATCATTTAGTCCAAGCCTTTCATTTTATAGATGAGTAAGCAAGGGCCCCAAAAGGTTAAGTGATTTGTCCAAGGTCACACAGCCAATTAATTGAAAAGCTGACCCAAGAACCCAGACTTTCTGATGTCGAATTCAGTGCTATTCTTACTACACATGATGTCTTTTGTAAGGATAACAGTCTCATACTCAACAACAGAAACAACAACAACAACAATAGCAACACACGCCCATGTTATCATCTTCACTGAGATAAGATCTGAATGCATTGCTATGTTATTCAATTGCTTAATGTTAAGAAACATCTAGAGTTTTGCTCAGTATCACTCATTCATATACTCATCATCAGCATGATAGCATAGGAATTTTCTTTTTCCTCTCCACTTGATATGTCTCTCTGAAAGAATTATTTTCTCAGTTCCTTGATTACTTTTCTATAAGCTGCAACAATCCAGGACTTGGCAAGATTAAATGAAATAAGCAATCCATAGGACATTATCCCACAATTCAAGAAGTCTCATTTAAACAGTAGCCACACCCAGAAAGAAATATGATACAAATCTCCAAACCCAAAGGTCAAAAACATCCAGCTAACATATATTGACTTTTATTCTGTGAACAATGACATAATAAATAAATGGATGAACTCATATGACCTGTACAAAAAACAAGGAGATATTGCACCAAGTTTAGATATGGGATATTTAGATTTAATATTAGCTAAACAGATGATCTACAAGTATATACAACTTGAGGAGTTAAGGCAAAACCAGATGATACCTAGAACACAACTAAAGGTTTGAAAAATAGACATAATTAAAAACAAGGGAATCTCATCTCCTGCTAATAAAGTGTTTGTGTCTAAGGAAAAAATCCCTTAGGTTTTTAATAAAGTGGTTATTATCAATCACGTTAATTAAAGTTGAAGAATAAAGTATACAATTTCCTGCAGAGGAGCATAATTTTGCCAAGGTTTGTGGATTGATCACTCAGAACATGGGTAAGCAACATTTTTCCTTTGTCAAACTTATGATCTATTCTTGCTATTAGAAAATATAACTTGGAAAATATGAATCTTTCATGTATACAATTAAAATACAACTATTATGCATCCTCCTTTCCCCCCTTAGTGCTGTCATGTTTGTAATCACTGATTTAGAGTACATCTATGGGTCAGCCATCCAATACTCTACATGTAGAGAAGACACAAAACTAGTCATTGAATAACAATTGCCAGTTATCTCAGGAGAACAAAACAAAATTCAAAAAAACCAAATAGAACCAATAGCTCAATAAACAGTTCTTTGGCAGCAAGACACGAATTCTTGATTGAAGTCGGAATGCAAATTGTCCTAATTTATAGACCTGGTTGCCAGTCCTTTTAAAACCATGAAATTCCACACTTCCAATGACTCTGGTAAGTCCAGTCAATGAAATTCTGAATAAATCTTTCAAGCAGCTTCTGTTAACATTAAGCACAGATATGGATTGTCTGCTTAATATCTCAGTCCAAATACACTTAAACACACAAAAATTCTGTGATAAACTTCATACTGGTTCAGACAGGCCCAGGAGCCTTAAAGAGAATCCATATTCACCCATGAGAAATCAATAAGAAACATCAATCCAATGACGATAAAATGATCTTCAAATAACAGAGGGAATTGGCTGCTCCACACCTGGATGGATGTCACAGAGAAATCAGACTTTATAGGGGGAATACCAGAAAGCCAGAAAACGTAGAATACTGCCATCCTCCAACAAGATTACCTTTCTCCAGTTTCAGGTAAACCTTATCTTCTTTATCTAAATAAAGTAGGACTCCATTAGTAGCAGCTTCACGTGTAACATCTTTGTCTCCAGCGAATGCTGAAATTACTGGTTTTCCATTTAGCATCAGATTAACCTACAAGAAGAAAATCACTGAAAAGCTCTAGTTAAAGGAAAAAATATCTACTGGGGATTATAAATGACATGGAGGGGATGAAGGATTGGGTGAAAGATCTAATGTTCGAAAAACACATCACTCTCCTTTCAAATTAAGGAACTTTATTTACTGGACTAAGGTTGTTTGCCAAATTCATGTTTTATTCCTCTGCAAAGGAATTTTCTTAAACCAGAAGACAAATACCATCTATCTAGAGTAGGCTAGATATATGAAGCGGGGCCTCACTATAGCACCACTTCTGCTTCACTCCAATTTTTTGGCAATAAAGGAAACATATGGCTTTCTAGTATGTCACTGAAAAGAGACCACTCTAGTGACCTGATTAATCTAACTGCTGTAAGACTCTATCAAAACATTCGCAGGTTAAGGTGCAGCAGTGATATGCTTAGCTTTGAAAAAGCTGGTTTGTGAGGATGTACAAAGTGCAATTCTTCTCACTCCCATCCTACTCCCTGCTAGATTTGTGCCAATTTAAAATTATTTGTAATAATTAATAGTAATTAACTATGGTCAAAACTACTGCAATGACTGGCATATAGAAAATCACTAACTCTACATTTTGCATCTACTTTGTCTTCCTACTGTATTTCAACACTGCACCAAGCCCTCATATTTGAATGAAACCTAAAATTGTGAAACATAGGGAGTTTGGCTTCTTTCAGCTCTGGAAGGCTGCACCTTTATCCAGAACTCATTGTCCTAGAGGCAAGAATGCATAAAAGAAAGAAAATTTAGAGCACTGACAGAAGGTTTAGCTTAGAACTGTAAGTTGCTCTTTTATCTTCATGGACACGTTGTATAATATAAATCTTGGAAATTTAGTTATGGTTTATCAGGAATATACATAAGTAAAGAAAAATCTTTACTCAAAAAATGTGAATTTTGTGATTTAGGCATTTGCAGACGCAAGCATGGCTGAGAGTTCATGGCTCTTGACTTTGAAGACAATGATGTTTTTTTTTCCTTACTAAAATAAAAATGGTATTGCTGCAGGGAAATAAGAATGGCCTGACTCTGTGCTTCCTAAGATTCACTATGACTAAAGACAAACTATGATGATAGAGACAATTCAGTTTCTTAAACATACCCTAAAAGTTTATTTCATTCTTCGTGTATTTATTCCAAAGGTTTAATTACCAGCAATTAATGGAAATATGGTTTAAGTGAAATAATGTATATAAAGCATTTTGCAAATATTATTGTTCTGTATAATGTTAGCTATTGTTTTTATTACTAGTATCATTATATTTGCTTATTTTGAGCTTGAGTGAATCTGTTCATCTTAAAATTGTCTCATTTCAAGTTCAGTGATTTTTAAATTAATTAATTTTAAAATGAACTAATTTGAAATAAACTAATTTTTAAATGAACTAAGGTAACATACATTTAGCATGTAAAAAAATTCTACTGTGATTCACTCCATTAAATGTAGCTAAACCACCTCTCTTAGGAGTTATGATTTCCATAACTTTTTTATCACTATATCCATTGTCAAATTTTCTCATTCAATGATATAAGGAATTAGCTTGGAATCTAGATATTATTTCTAAATAACTACAAAGCTGACCATTTTGTTTGAAAAAGGAAAAGTTCATTTTTAGTTTCCATATTTCCATCACAATTTATAACCAAGACCATCTATAAATAAGTTCAACTTGTTTGGGTGGTTGTTTGAAGGGAGAATTTTTATTAAAAAAAACAAACCATACCTGGATTGTTTGACTCTGATAGACTTTGATTACATGAAAACTGAAACTGTAAATTCCTTTCCTTGGTGCTACAAAGACAGACTCCAATGTGAAAAAATTGCCCACATTTACTAGGATCTACAAACAAAAACACACAATAGTAATTAATATAAATATTTTGTCTTTCATAACACACATAGTAAAAAAACTGAGGGTGAGGAGTGAGGTGCAAAGGGTCATTGACTAGTGATTATGGCCTTTAAAATATCCAGTTGCATTTGTGAGATTTATTGTCATTTAAGTGACTTGGAAAATGTACTCCTTTGTAGAAATATCACTATGCTTTAAAAATGGCATAAGAAAAATGTAACTGCAGTATAGAAGCAGCTCAAATTCCAACAATACTCAGTTGGCGTAGAAATACCCAGGGAGCATGTAAGGGCCTACTTAATATTAGTTTTATCTTGTCAGTCAGATATAAGGAAATTGCTATATATTTACATTACCACCCCCTGAAAGTCATTGATATGTCCAGAAGTGACGTTGCCAAGTCAACCAATCAGCATCCATGGAATTTCCACAATCATTCCTGAAAACATTTTAGAGATGTTGGCGTCCCTCCTTTTGGTGTCATAATTCATGATACTGGACAGCTGGCGCATGGAATAGTCAGAATGACTTGATCACGTAAGAGGATCTACCTACCCTCTGTCTAGCTCCCTCGTCCATTTGTCATTTCTATGGCATACAGGCCTGATGTTTTAGTAGAAGCTTATATTTCAGAAGATGCCAAGGAATGATAGGCAGAAGAGAACATAAGAAACAGGTAGTATCTATGATTTTGCATCACTGGTGTAGCTATCTAATCCTTATTTGAAGTTCAAAGACATTTCATAAGGAACTTATTGCCCAAGGATGAAACAAGATAAAAACTTCATTCTATAAATTGAAGTAGCATTTTATTAGCTATCGAAGCAAAGTCAATAACATTAGACTTCAATAAGTGTATCATTAATCTAAATATGTAATACACACACACATAACTTAGCTAGATTCTAAGGTTAGAGTATTTGTATTTGAGTGTGTGTGTGTGTGTGTGTGTGTGTGTGTGTGTGTGTGATGAATAGCCAGGATTTCTTCATCCTTCTCTAAGATACAAATTCAGGAAAATAATTTGTTCCTGTAAAGACACTTTTCTCACATACTGAATTCATATTCCTAGTATCTCTTCTAACATACACTTAAAAATATTCTCTTTTCTAGTGTATCCATGTGTGTGTGTGCGTGTGTGTGTGTATACACACACACACACACACATATATATACATATATCCAATATAACCTCCTGCAAAGTGTCTGAGTAATATACTAGTATAGATCATTCACACACCAATAATGCAGTTATGGTAGCCAGCTGAACAAATTTTTTACAGCTGATCCCAATATGCTGTTTTAATTTAGTCTAAGATTCTACCATCTCTCAGATAAACACTTAGACTGCTTTCTTTCACTTCATGATCAGTGAACTTTAGAGATAAAATCACTGGCTGTGTTAATCATACTAAACAGAGGGCTGTTGGAGATTTTTTTTTTGGAGCACATTTAAAATAATTTGAAGTGCTTAGTTGCATCTTTGTGATTTTAGTGCAAGTCGTACAACTCATTAATGATAATGGAAATTGCTGATTAGTGTTGACTACACAGAACGGCTGATGTTGTCTCTACATTATAATTAGAGCATTTATCTTAACTATATTTATAACTGAATATAGCTAGTTGTCGCCAAGATCTATCACTCTCTGCACAGAAGAGAAAACCTTTCTTGTTATAATTGACAGAAAGGTCACTGAAAAGGAACAAGAGGTACTGAAGATATTTCAAATGACCAGAGCATTCTACCATTAATTAATTTATTCTGAAATCAAGGCTTGTTTTATTCTTTATTACCTTGGGGCTGGGAAAAAATGCACCCAAGTCCAAAGGGTCACTTGAAATATAAAAACTACATTTGTTCATTTTTAACTTCCTCTTCCCACCCCACCCCTGTGGTATTGGGGGGGGAGGGGAGGGGGGATTCTATGCTTACTGACAGATGTTGTGTGTTTCTTGTAAGGAATTAAATAATTCATACAAATGCCACCTCATTTCTTTCTCTTTGCCTTTCTAAACATCATTTCACCTGGATTCCTGACTAGATAGATAGGCATAAATACACATATGTATACATTTGTGTATATATACATATATGTGTCTTTCCACATGAGGGTAACTGACCAATTGGTCAGGTTGTAGAATATTAATGTGTTCAGTGCTATTTGGGTTGGCAGCCAAAGTCTTTCCTTCTTTTTTTTTTCTCCTACCAGCTACTGCTGAAGCAGAGCTGGAGTCTCTGGGAGTTCCCTCGGATCACAAACCCACAGGGACAGTCAACTAGGCTAAATAGCAGGAGCTGGTTTCTCTAGTCCCAGAAAGCCCCTCTCTTTCCAGCAATTTGAAAGGCTAGAGGCTCACTGATGGTTTTGCCTTAGTAGATAAAGGATGGAAGGATCTGCTTCCCTCCGTGTTTCCCAGGGGACCTCAGTAAATCTGCTGGAATCCTTTCCTTCTTCTGTTTCCGCAACTTTTCACAAAGTGATGGAAAAGGGACCAAGTTCTACTTGGGCTGCCGCAGTAAGAGAACTTAGAACGCAGGTATTTTTTGTCATAAAGGAAAGGAAGTGGGAGGGAGCGAGTCTGGAAGTCTCAAGGAGACCCTGCCAGGCAAAGGGAACCTAGACTGCAACTTCTTGGGGAAGCAGATCAATCAAATATTTATCTAGCCTTATCGAAGGTGCAAGAACAGAGAAATCATCACAATTATAAACCAGAGAAGTGAGGGAGTGGGGAAAATGTGGGTCCCCGGAGAACAAAGGAAACCCCCCTGCAATGAAAGCCCCCTCAGTTTCCATGACCTGTTGCCACCAAACTCGTCCAGAAAACCTCTTCGCTTTGCCCTTTTCTCTACCGCTGGCCCAGCCTGCCTTCTGGGAAACACCAGGAAGGAACAGGTGGAGCTTGCCGGGAAACTCCTGACACAAGACATCAGCCCAAGGAGCAGAATCGGGGGCCTCTCTCCCCTGAGTCTAAACCATTTTCCCTCTTGCCCCTTCCTAGGAGGTTTGGCATAGCTAGGCTCAGATCTAGGCAGCTATGGTGGTGTCAAGCTGCCTGAAGATCCCCACCCTGGACCCAGCTCTGACCTGATCGAAGTAAATAATGCGTGTCTTGTTGCTCATCTCCGATGGCTCGTGGTTGGTGCTCCTCACGGCAGAGAAGGCAACCTTGGAGTTAGCTGCCCGAACTGAGATTCCCAGGGGAGATGAGGAAGAGCCCTTGGCGTCTGTAGCCGGATTAGAGTCGCATACCACCAAACACTTGCCCTCCAAGACTATGGGCTCAGTGTCGTTCTGCGCCCACACACGCAGCCCCGGCAGAGTCAGGGCTAGGAGAACCGCTGGAACCACGGACAGCACCTGGCTCCCGGAGCCCATCCTAAGCGACCTCGGCTGCAGCCGGCAGGCGCTCCCCAGCTTTGGCTCACTACCTTCCCGGACCCGGGAGCTCTGAAACCAACCAAAAGCAAGAGCTGGAGTGGGTGCAGGAGCGGCAACCGGAACAGCAGTGGCAGTAGCAGCAGCAGCAGCAGCGTAGCACACACTTCCACCAATTCTGTGGTTTAAAGTCAAAGTCTTCCCTTTAGCTCTCTCGCTCCCTCTGTTACCTTTGTCCTTTAAGGAGCTCATGCAGAACCCCTACCCCACCCTCTTCCCCCAAATTTTCAACCCTTCCAGGTTTTCCCCCACACCCACCCTTTTCCTTCGGCATCCAAAATGTCTCCCCCGAAAAATATTCTCACCCCAAACCCAAACACCCCAAGGTATGTAATTGATGAAGGAAGACGTGAGAAAGAAATCAGGAAGAAACAAAAACATCTGATTCTCCCATCATTTCTTCCATCAGATGCTCCTGGCTGGCCTCTTGTTGAAGTCTGGCTGCAGCTAGATATGGACTACAGAGGTGGGAACTGCCCCCTCGCCTATCCAGATCCTGAATCTGATATCATGGCCAGGGCGTTCGCAATTCCTAGCTTCTCTTCGCCACAAATTCCCCAAAGCCTTATGTCATACCAACACAGCCCAACTATCGGCTCCCTGAGCAGACAGAGCCAGAGAGTGGATTACTGTAGGACCTGCTCCTGGGATGCAGGGTGTTTGAGTGTGTGTGTGTGTGTGTGTGTGTGTGTGTGTGTGTGTGTTCCTCTCTTTCTCCTTTAATGCCTTGGCACAACTTTCTCCCCACCTGGTACAAGAAAACGAGTTGCAGAAACATGCACACACACACACATACACGTTATTTATAGGAAGGGCATGGGTTTGAGTTCGCTTGCTGATAATCAGGTGTCAGCTTCAGAAAAACTGAACAAGCCTGGAAAACCCTCACGACCTGTAATTAAGGTAAACCTAAAGCACCAACATCAAATATGACCTGCCTATTTTTGTGAACTTAAGGATCCCTCTCTCCATCTTTGAGGATCTACCTTGGTCTCGGTTTGTGTGTACGTGTGTGTCTGTGTGTCTGTGTGTGTGTGCAGGAGCACTCCTGCCTATGTGTACAGCTGCCTATAATCCTATACCTTCCCGCAAAACTCGCTCCCAGCCGCACAAAGCCCTCGCCCCTTCCTCTTGATTTTCTGCAACTGGCAAGCGTGACTAATGCTCCCCTCGCCCCTTCAGCAAAGGCGACCCCACAGTGCGCAAGAAATGGGGATTGCCCTAGAAGTACATCCCTGACAGTCCCTTCTATAAAGATGAATATGCCTCGGCTCCGGTTGCACCACGCTGCCCAGTGGACCAAGACGGGAACACCTAGCGCTGGAACAGCGTCCGGTGCAAGCGTCTGTCCCCAGGAATTCCTCCTGCCAGGCAAACCAAGGCTGCGGGAAACCCAAAAGGGTCCCTACAGGGTCAGGGTCACTGACTCCAGGCAGCCAGTTATCTTTAAGGAAGATGCCCTTCGATTTCTTCATTTGGAGGAAACACTACTCTGCCTCCCATCCCAGGGGAAGAGGGAGAAAACGGGAATTAGTTTAGCCTTATTAGCAAAGTAAAGGTTCTTCGTTTTATTTGCACGAGATTTTTTTTCCTAAGCTCCATTGAGTAAAAGCAGAAGGTAGTATTCCCTAATAGATGAGCTAGGTTCTCCTTACACACACACACACCCGCACACGCACGCACGCGTGCACACACACACACACACACCCCACCACCACCACTACCACCGCCACCACCACCACCACGATCATTTATATTGAATCTCTATTTCGTAGGCACCTCTTCCCTACCTGTAACTAGCCCTGAATAAAATTTTGGTGTGAGCACATTTCAACTGCCCCAACCATCTTCTCTAGTTGTGTTCCCTGTCCCTCTCTGAATTTATAGAATTCAGAGGATAGAACTTCATCATTTTACAGATGAGAAAATGGAGGCAGAGAAAGAGTAAGGAACTAGGCACATTTCACACAGCTAATATGTAGAAGACAGCTAATACATAGAAGACAGGATTGCAATCCAATAGTTTTAACTCCTGATCCAGAATTCTTTCTCCTATAGTCAGATACTCTTCCTGAGATTTCCTCAACTCCCCTCTGTCAACTGCCTACTGTGGGAAGGGAAGGATGAAAAGCTCATTCACATTAAGGTGTAAATGAATAATAATTGATAATTCAACTCAATTCAGTTCATTTCAGCAAGTATTTATTAAGCAGCTACTAAATGTAAAGTACTATACAAAGGGATACAAGTATTAAAAAAAAAAAAAACACTACACAATCCCTGCACCACAGAAAGTTTGCAATTACTTGGGAGGATAGACGTGAACATAAATATAATCCAAAGTCAAAATATGGGGCAAAGGAAAGAGTCAGACAAATTTATCTAGAAAAATTCAGAGAAAGGAAAAAATATTAAGGAAGACAGCCTAGAAGTTCCACATTTCAAGCTGTGTTACAAAGCAGCAATCATCAAAACAATCTGGTGGTTGTTGCTGTTGTTCAGTCATTTTTTTAGTCAGGCCCAACTCTTTGTGACCCTATTTAGGATTTTCTTGGCAAGAATACTCGAGTGGTTTGTCCTTTTCTTCTCTGACTAAGAAATAGAATAGTGGATCAGTGGAATAGATTAGATACACAATATGTAGTAGTAAATGGCCATGGTAATCTAGTTATTGATAAACCCAAAGATCTGAGCTTTGAAGGTAAGAACTCACATCTGACAAAAACTACTGGAGAAACTGGAAAGCAGTTTGGCAGAAACTAGACATAGAACAACATCTCACACAGTCTACCAAGATAAGGTCAAAATAGGTAAGTGATTTAAACAAAAAGGGTGATAGCATAAGTAAATTAGGGAGCATAGAAAAATGTACTTGTCAGAACTATGGAAACAGAAGAATTTATAACCAACAAGAGATAGAGGAGATTACAGGAAGTAAAATGAATAATTTCGATTATGTGAAATTAAAAACTTTTGCCCAAACAAAACCAATGCAATCAAAATTAGAAGGAAAACAGGAAATGGGGGTGGGGGGAGTTTGCAACAAGTTCCCCTAATAAAAGTCTAATTTCTCAAATATACAGGTAATTGAGCCAAAAGTATAAAAATAAGAATCATTCACAATTGATAAATGGACAAAGGATACGAATGGGTAGTTTTCAGAAAAAGAAATCAAACCTATCAATAATCACATAAAAATACTCTAAATCACTACTGATCAGAGAAATTCAAATTAAAACAACTCTGAGATATCCCATCACATGTATCAGATTGGCTAACATGCCAGAAAAGGGAAATGACAAGTGCTGGAGGAGATGTGGAAAAATATTAATGCACACTTGGTGAAGTTATAAACTAGTCCAATAATTCTGGAGAACAACTTGAAACTACAACACTAAGGTCTTAAAACTGGGCATAAACTTTGAACCAGCAATATCACTACTATGTCTGTATCCCAAAGAGATCAAAGAAAAAGGAAAAGGTCCTATTTGGACAAAAAAAATTTATAGTAGCTTTTTGAGGTGGCAAAGAATTGAAAATTGAGAGGATATCTGAACAAGTTGTGGTATGTAATTGTAATAAAATACTATTGTGCTATCGAAAATGATGAGTAGGATGGTTTCGGGAAAACCTGTAAAGATTTATATGAACTCATGCAAAGTAGAGTGGGCAGAATCAGAATCGTAACAGCAGTATTTTGAGGATGATCAATTGTGAAAGACTTAACTACTCTGATCAAGACAATAATCCAATCCAAAGAATCCATGATGAAAATTTCTTTCCACTTTCAGGGAAAGAACTGATGAGCTCTGAATGTATATTGAGGCATACTTTTAAAAAAATTATTTACCTTTGTTTTATTTTGTATATGCTTTCTTTTGTAACATGGCTAATATGGAAATATGTTTTTCATGACCTCCCAGGTATAGTTGAAATCAAATTGCTTTCCTTCTCAAGAAGGGGAAAGATGTGTTAGGGAGAAAGGGAATTGGAAACATTTTTTTAATGATTGTGAAAAATTTGCATGTAATTAAGAAATATTTAGTGAAATAAGTAGAAGTAACTTAAAAAGAAAAATTCAGAGAGTGAGAGAATATTTTCAGCTGAGAAAGAGCCAAAAAGAGATCTGGAAAGCCTTCATGGAGATTGTGGAATGCAAATTAAGTCTTAAAGTACAAGAAATACATCATTTTGTCTCCTCCCCAGAAGAATATGCATTTTAGTCACTATTTCTAATTGTAAAATAAAAGCCTTCCCCTATTTATGGAATTTCCAACATGGGATTTAGAGGAAGATAGTTGACAGGAAAGGAAAGGAATGTGTGAGCAGTATAGAGTTCTTAAATCAAACCATGCTATAATGGACAGAGCATTGCAAAAGGTGACCTAAGTATGACACTTATAGCCATCACTATCTGCTGTGACCTTCAGAAAACATTTAGCCCTTCTAAGCCTTAATTTCCCCATCTGTAAAATGGAAGAATTAGTTTGGATTATGATCTATAAGATTCCTTCTAGCTCTAATAATCTATTATCCAATGGCAGTACACTGAGAAAGTGATTTTCCTACCAAAAAGCTATCTCTCTCCCCTCAATCTCATCTGTTCCCCTGGCCCTCAGGAAAAACAGCCCTTTTCTTAAACTTTGAGAGTGGATTAAAAACTAATCACCACCAATCCACAGTAATTTTTAACCCAGGAAGAACTGAACAGAAGTAAGGATAGGGTTTTAGCTATTGCCAGCCTGGCTAGTTTTCTACTAAGTTGACATTTGAAATGTTTAAACTGAGAAATTCACTAACAAAATCAGGTGGGTTATGGCCTGTATTTTTAACCATTGTGAGACATCCAGGTTGGGTTTTATCACAGAGAGTTTCATTTTGAGCTTTTGAGTAGGGAGGTGGAGAAGAATATGGAATAAGCCAGAAAAAAATTACAGTTCTGCAAAGTAAATCTCAACTTGGAAAATAAATGGTAAATGATTTGAGCATTCTATAGAATGCTCTCTTTTGATTAATAGATCTAATACCTATTTTAGTAATTTCTATTCATATTATAGGAATCAGGTTCCCCCCAAACTAAGAACATTAAGGATTTTTGAACAATTTTTCCAATTTCTGAGAAAATATGTCCATGGTGCAAAAATGCTACACACAAAAAGTGTTCAACTCTAAGGCCTCACCTGAAAAATAACCAAGCAAATTGCATGATAGAAAACTGCGTACATCACTTAGCAGTCATAGTTGCAGATCAGTAGTGCAGAAGTAGAAAGTCTAGAAAGGGAAAATGGCCACGAGACACACATTTTGCCAAAAATAAGGCCCATTGAGTAGCACAGTTAGCATTGACTTTCTAAGCCCACAATTATCAACCCCAGTAAAATACCATTCTTCACTTTTGCAAATGGCTGTAGTGAAAAAAGATCTATGCAGACAATACATCAACTCTGAAATATGCCTGAAAAGTTCTGGAAGATAGTGAATACCTGCTTAGGACCTTAAACTAGTGCATTTAAATCCCTCTGGGATGAAATCCTTTTGTGTTTCTTTCTATAACAATATTATAGACAAAGTCACTTTCAATTCTTGTTTTGAGGAATGAGGTAGGTTTGAGGTAATCCATTTGAATTCTGACTGGGCCTCACATATAACCAACAACAAGTATTTTTTTTTAAATTTTAGACAAATGCTAAAACTTAAATATAAAATAAGAAAAGAAAAAGAAACATTACAAACCTAAATATAAAATAAGAAAATATGAAAAAGTCATGTGCACAGCAGAACATAGGAGAGGATTCAAATTATGTAGTGATAACTTTTCAAATACCATTCATCATATTGAAACCTGTCCATCTTTTCTTTGCTTCCTTGTAGGTTTTCTTTTGTTCTCTGCTGTACACCTTTTACTTCGTTCTTTTTTCCTCCTCCCTCCCACCTACCCACCACCCCAGGGCTACAGTTAAGTGTTGGATATATTTATATACAAGTATTGATATATACATACATTTATACATATATATTATTACATACATACACATACTTTCCCTAAGAGATTCTACTCATAATCTTTGTTTCTATGTTTGTGCATATAGCTTTATTTTTCCTATCTCTCTTAACTCCTCTACTTTACTTCTACCTGCTACCTTACTTATTTCTTTAACATCTATATCTTTCCAGAGTTGATGTATGGATGTTAGTCATGGATATTGGAATCTT